TGCTGTTTAGTACCCACACTTAATTCACAGTGTGTATCCACACTCAACAATAAATTGTGTGTTCATCCAGGGATGGTATTATCCAGAAACATTAGATTCATTAATTCAGTGAGTTGGCGTCATAACATGGATAAAACGTTCATAGTTTACACATCCAGACAGAATTACATGATACCTGGAGGTTGATTTCTATTAAATGACCCAGAGGGGAGTGTGTGTTTGCCTTTAAGAGCTGCCACTAGGTTTAGGAGCTCTGGGATTGACTTTGGTTCCAGCTTCACGTTGCATTAATGCCTCAACAGACAGAAACAAGAGTGGAGCCTACGTGAGACAAACACAGGCAGCCACATTCCCTGCTCTGTAATCAGCTCAGGAGAGAACACGTCCACAATGGTCACATGTAAACTGTGGCTTTAGTTAACACAAAGTCACATAACTGAAAACTTACTTTGATAACTATTATTAAATAGTATTTGAGTGGTCAAAAGTCAGTAATGATCACACTGAGTGCAGACAGTACAAGGAATTCTCACTAATTCTGAATTGTGGAAGCAGAAGTTGCAATATCTAAACATCAAATTAACCTAATCCCACTATCCATACACGTATTTCACAGACTGCAGATGGTAAATGTACTTGAAATCATTCTGTATTCTGTCCACAGCCAATTTATACACAGATCTGTTGCAGCCATGAGGGGAGTGGGCAGTTGAGACAAGCAAAACAATTCATAAACAAAGTAACACAGAGAAATGCAAAGTTGTTTTACTGTCAGTTATATTCTAAATGAATTGGTCTTATGAACTAAATCATATAATGTAAATGAATGGTGAGAAACATTACCGTGTTCATGAGAGTGGATTCAGAGTTGGCCACCAGCACAAATACATCAGCATCTAGACAAAACTTGTCAATCCAGCTATCCAGTTGTGTTGTAACATCTGTCCCGGGGCTAACGGGTGTAAAAGAGGTTCAATAGAGAGTTAAAAATGCAAATGTGGACACCGTCAGAGCTTTTCCAGATTCAAATGACGGATTGTGTTACCTGTCTACAAGCACCAGGTCATCTCGAAGCAGAGCACACTTGGTTTTTGGCCAGAAGACGCGTACGAGACAGCCTGCGTCCAGACTCTCGTCCATGTGGAGAGCGTGAGCCAGCTGGTTTACTGTCTGCAGAAGGGTTGGAAACGGAACATGGTAACAGAGGTTAATGTACGACTAACACAAAAGCTCATTGCAACCGTTAGTGTTTGATTACTCTTCATCGTGAATTACCAATTGTTGCAGTATTAACGTTTTTGCCACCATTTAATTTTCATAAATGTCAGTAAATGAAATTAGAGGAAAAATATGTTTCTCTTTGGCACTACATTGATTCTTTTCTTTTTATAAGGTTTAAAATTTAAGGTATTTATAGCATTATCCAAATCATTATTTCATATTCAACACTAAAGGGAGAATATGTAAAGTAGTAAATCAATAACAACATGCAACTCGTGTAGTAGTTGATTTTACAAGAAAACAGACATTCATTTCTAACTGACAGTGAAGCACAACACTGAGAAAATACAGCTGGACAATAAAAAAAGCACAATTTAACTGCTCATTCAACTGAACCCATGTCAACTTCATTCAGTTCAGTGAGTGAGAGAGAAGTGAAGAGAACGGTGTCTCCCACATGGGGCTCTCATGTCAGACACCTGACACCGTGGTAAACATCATGCTTAGCTGTCACGTGTCATATATGACAGCAGGTTCAAGTAGCTGTGGCTAAAGACACACGTGTTTACTATATTCTCTCAAAAACAAACCTAGTATTAAAGTTTTTAATTCAACATGTTGAGGAATCAGAACTAAGATGCGAGCTTGGTTCTGTTATCAGAGAGAGTAATAAACCTTATCAGTTTGTGTCCTCAGAGTATGAGTACAACAACAATAGTTATAGTACAATGTCTCTGCCGTTTTAGTTTTAGTCAAAACTTTAAGTAAACTGGGTCTAACTGTGGGAAACGCAACATAACCCCCAAAATGCAGTTTAAGTGTAAGTGATGTGACAACTGATTTAAAGGAAGCATATGGTCTGATTGGTGGACATGGAAGGATCCTAGCATGTGTGTGTGTGTGTGTGTGTGTGTGTGTG